AGAATTATAAAGAAAAAATTATTCGCTGATTTTTTTTTTTTAAATAAAAAATACACGCTGAAAAATGTATCAATAACAAATTCAAACAACTTTCGATTTTCGAATTTAGATGATCAGTTGTACAGATTCCATAGTTATTTTTTTTTTTTTTAATCGACGAAAGGTTCTTTTCCATAATCATACGTTATATATAAAAATATTGTAGAACATATCAACTGAATATACTTAATGTGATACACTAGCTGTAATAACTGGCGAAAAATATTATTTTTCAGTGGTAAGCAATTATTATTACATTACTATTTAATATGAAATGAGATATAGCGCGTAATTTCTTACAAAGATTTATAGGAGTATCGTAAAAATTTATGGATAAGAATTTTTATGATTATCAAACAGCTGTCAATAGTGATTTTCTGTTACGATTTATTGACTTTTGTTGCATGTCCAAAGGTAATCTATAAGTGATGGATCGACATTATAGAGTGATGCGTTCGTCGAGGTAACAGTTATATTATTATTTATTATCTACAACAGACTTTTCCTACACATTTGAACAATTTACTTATTCACTGGTTCTAACAATTATCTACGATTTTTTAACAATGTACACAATGCATTTTGATTCATAATTTATATCTTATTCTCTTATTTTATATTATATACATTATATTATACATTTCACAATAAACTGCGATATTTTTACGCCCTAATTGAGATTTTTTTAAATTAAATGTTTAGAATTATTCAACTATTTTTTCCAAGTTATATAAGGTCCAAACTAGTTGGAAACTTTTTGACCCGACTCGACGATCATTGATTAAAAACCTTTGTTAATTTGAATGTATTTTTTGAAAAATTTTAAAATAGCGTTACGGTGACTTGTTATTACCGTACGGTACTTTTTTTGTGATTGTGAAGCCCCAAGATGGAATTTTTCAACGAAATCTCGTTTGTCACATCTGCATCCCAATACCCCTTCGTACACTATAGTCATATAATCGATGATTTCAAATTTCAAATCCCCCCGAGATTAGGGGCGTTACGGTAATGACCACTTATTTTCCGGAAAAAACGCTATGACTGTATTCTCTACGATACTACGAATTTCCAAGTTCAGATTTAAGGCTGCAAAAAAATTGACAGTATTATTCTGTACACATCAGAATACAAAACGATTAATTCCAAGGGTCTGAAAATTAATCACTTAGCCAAATTATTTAAAAGTAGGCTTCACAAATAAAACGTCCCGTACATGAAAACACAATTTTTGTTTCGGTTATAAACTCAGATGAGGTGCTCAACGCCCCAAACTTTTAGATAATACATGTTTAAAAAATAAAAAAAATTTAATATCTAGGCGCCATAAGCCGCAAAAAATTAAATTTTTTGATCGCGTTACGGTAATGACTTTTTGATCTATTTTTTTAACCTTACGGCCAAGCAAAAAAGTTTTTTGACTCGATCTTAAAAATGCATTTAGGAAAAACTGGCTTACACCGTTTAAAAAAAGTTTTGATTCGAAATAATTCAAACCGTCGTTTTTAAACATATAGGCATCATGGAATATCGCATTTTTTGTGAAATGACTCATATGTATTATGGACCCCTGATTTCCGCTGGATATTCGGGGGAGAGTCCTGAAGGTTTGTAGATTGTGTTTGTGGGAATATAAGTAGGCCCAGGTCCTGCGTTCCAGTTGGATTTTTTGGTGTAAGACTCTACGACACGTTCGTGTGTCTCATTGGTTTTGATCTTGGAAGCAAATATGCATGTTTACGTCGGTATCTTGATTCATGGGGGTTGGACAACCATTTGGACTGTCTTGTTTCCCTGCAATTAAGTTGTCTTCCTCGGGGATGACGTCGTCTAGAGGTTAGCCCCAAAGGTGATGGTTATATGTCTTAGAAAAAAGAAATTCAATTTCACGATACATACTTACTACCGCATTTGTTCTAAAATACAATAACACGAGGCTTTAAAGTATGAAAAAATACAGAAAATCTTAGAACCATTTTGTAAATTTGTATATAAGCCGAAAACGTTTTTTGGAGCAGGAGAGCAAGCAGAAGACAAGCAGAGAAGACTGCATGTCATATTATATGTATGTATATATATATACACACATATATATATATATGCAACATGCGCTCAAAAAAAGAGACCAAGAGACGCCGCCGCGCCTCATCGCCGCGATTTGCAATTCGTAAACCATCAGTTTGAATTGTAAATATACTTAAAAGACAGCAGAGCATCGGTTCACCACACACAATATACACTTTTTACCTTTTACCCAGTGGGAGAGGAAACATTCGCGGAAATCGGAATAAGTACTTATAAGCATACTTATAAAAAATTCAAAATTCAAAGTGCTCCGTTACTTATCGGTGTGTGGCAGGCAGGCAGGCGCGCGAGAGAGTTGCATGTTGCACAGTTGCAGTGTGCGAATACACCTATACTTACTTATATCAGTTACTTATCAGTAGTGCACTGGTAGTACAGAGAACAAAACAGTATTAAGTAACGATACCGGGAACAGTCCCGAGACTCCCGAGAGAGAGACGACCGTGCAGGACCTACTGTTGCAACGACAGGAGAGCATCAGCTGGTCCAGGGGCCGCCGGCGGGTCCTCGACCCTCGACTCCTGTTTTTGTCTCCTCCCCCCTCGAAGCTACGGAGCTTAACTAGTACAGCTCACGGGTATAACCTCGCCCGCGAGGTCAGAGATCCTCAAGGGGCGTACAGCGTATATGTCTCAATAGGTAGCTTATAGGTACACCGAGTTGATGCTGCAGCTTACATCACACCAGTGCATATAATACGTAGATACGATACCTAGAGCGTGATACTTGGGTAACACGCGCCAAGAGGAGGAGGAGAAGGAACACGGCACCACGTATAGTACTTGTACCTAAGAAAAAGAAGAAGAATAGTACCATCATCTCCACGACGAGGAGCCGGAATCAATCGTCGCTCCCGCTCGTGCGCACACACAGAGCAGCCAGGAGAGGAGGTGGTGGGTGGTGGTGGTGGAGGAGGGACCCTCGTCGGTAGTAGTGAGAGAAGGTGTATTATGGCCGTACCGATAAACAACAGCCCCACGATCAACAATGTGGACACCCAGTACTTCTACGAGGATGTCGTCTACAGGGTGGACAAGCGCGGCAATGTCGAGTTCGGCATCGTCATGGAGAACGACGACCAGGAGCTGTCGGACGAGAGCAGCGACAACGAGGACAGTCCTAAGCGCAAGAAGGGCGAGATCAGGGTCGTCTGGCATCCGTCCGGCGTTGAGGAACTCGTCAACTCGAAAAAGGCAATACTTACTTATCACCTTGAATGATCCTTGTGTCTCGTGCACGCTTTAGCAGATTAGACGGGTTTTGGGTGTACAAATAGTTTTTTTTCTATTTCCATAAGGACGAATAATTTATATTTATTGATTGATCGTATTTTGATAAGAATTATGTCTAAGGTAGCTTTAAAGATACCCCAATCGTCAAAGTGCGTAAGGTTTGATGACCTTTTGCTTCTGTGCTTTACTGTTTTTTTTTTTTTTTTTTAACAAAATTAAATCACCAGAACGGAAGAAATATGTTTTGAACTGTTTATAGCATTCAAGTTTGTTTTTTTCATTTTAACTCGTTCCTACTCTTGTGTTTGGCTCAGTATCAACAAACATAAAAACTTTATAAATAATTTTAATTTTATTGTTAGTTTTTACGAAGATGTTCTTATTTATTGGTCGCCTTATTGTTCTCTAGTTGATAATAGTGACGTAAATTTTGGCAGGTTCATTTGGCAGACAGAACTTTGATGCCTGGAGATGTTGTCAGACGTATGATTAAAGGAAAAGATACACAGCGAGGGTACTGCAGAGATATTGAGCTGACTGCTTGTGTACAAGTTATTGGTACCAAACAAATACTTACCAACATCAGAAGCGAGGATTTGGTGCCACTTGAGGTAATTTATTATACAACAGTGGTTATGTGTTAGAGTGACTTATTTGGAAAAAATAATTTTTGTACAGGAGTTTGCTGCGGATATCGCAGTGTGCATGGATTCTTGGGTGGGTGGAATCAGAATGGTACATTTCAAGTTATGGTTAGTCACTCCTGACGGCTCAAGATGTGTTATTAACGAGATAGACGCCAGAGGATTGGAACATTTTGAGGAAAAGCGAGAAACGGTATAAGCACTTTTTTTGATTTTCCATCCAAGTAAACGAGTCTTGTTACGCCTGTGCATTATTAAACGAATGATATTGCTCTTTCAGGATAACGATTTTCCTCACACATCGGAGTTTTATCCCGGCCAAAGCCTGTGGGGCCCCATACATTGTCTGGAAGAGGCTCAGTGGATCCAGTGTACAAAAGAAATGAAGGCCAAACGAAAGTCAAAGCCGCAGCGTATCACAAAGGTCGTCGTGGAGAAGGTGGAGACCGATTGGGTCGGTGTGCACTGGCAGTGCCGTGCTTACTCGAAAGACGGCGTCTGGTCAAATCAGGCGCACCCGAAATTCGTTGTCGAGGGCGAGGACCTCCCAAAACTCAAGCTGCTCAACGTGTTTGAGCCTTCAACGCTGCAGGTTGGCGATCGCAACTTTTACGTGATCAAAGGCAACGAAACGGTGATAACGCGGGAGCAGTGGCGCAAGCAACAGCGTGAGATCTTTCAAGTTCCTAAGAGTCCCCGCAAGACGCGCAACATGTCCAAGGCGGCCGTCGAAGAGAAAATAAAGCGCGAGAGGAGAGACATGTCACAGGAGAAGGAGAAGGACGTCAACGACGTGAACGTTGATAACAAAGTGAACAGTGAGAAAGACGTGATGAGTAATAATCTGCTGGCACCTCCGCCGGTTAATGTTAATGCGGAGAGCTCGGATGATTGGGACACCGAGGATACTGGCTCGCAAAGTGATTCAGCTTCGGTAATTTTAATGTCCATCTTTGAAAGTTTACCTAATGCCATTTAAAGTACGTGTTGAGCAAACTTTTTTTTTCACTCTGTGTACAGATTTCCAGTGGCTGTTCAAGCATGTCATCAATGGGAAAAAAGAAAAAAGGTCCTGCACTGATGACCAAGTTCCTTAAAAAACGCAAACTGTGCAAGGCTAGGAAAAAAGTTCCACCGCCTCCACTAGAACCTGGAACGAAAATTGTCGTGGAAACTGTTTCTACCAACACAAAGGCAAATGTAGTCTGGCAGGATGGTTCTGTAGAGTTTGGTACGATGATGATTCTGAAAAATAAAGAAGAAAAATCGTTTCTTAATATCGATAGTATATGTAAAACTCAAAATATTCTTTAAGGTATTCCTTCGACTCAACTATACCCGATTCACCATCTGGATGATAAGGAATTCTTCCCTGGCGATTTCGTTGTTGATCAGAAAGAAGAATCGAGAATGTACGGAGTGGTGCAGAGTGTAGATCACCAAGGAAGGACCGCTAAAATAAAGTGGTTCAAAACATACACATCTAGTCAAAGTCCTCAGTAAGTTATTTCACAAAAAGAAAACAGTTCTAACAAATTTTTTTGTTTGATTTAAAATCAACTCCCTGACGTATGACAAATTTTGTTTAGACCAACATTTTTGGAAGAACGTGAAGTAAGCGTGTATGATCTCAAGGACCATCCAGACTTTCAGTACCGGCCGGGCACTCTAGTCATACGCATAGCAAACTTCGAGGGTGAAGACGCAGGATGTACAGCAGGTCAAGTCCTCGACAATTATCCGGAAGGTCGAGTAAAGGTCTGGTGGGTGGACGGCCACGTGAGCATGTGCTGGCCCCAGGATCTTTACAAAGTGGGCGAGTACGACAGCGACGATGGCGAGTTGTGGGACGACGTATCTTCGGATGCCTCGTGGGAAACCGAATTGGAGGACTTTACGGCAGACAACGATACACCTAGTGCCGAGCAAGCTGAAAATATCAAGCCAAAACTCGCGGCGCACATCGAGAAGGCCCGCATAGCTATGTCACGGCTCGAGGAGATTTTCACGCAAAATCCGTCCTTGCAAACGACTGAAGTCATGAGGAGACTACTAGAAGTTTACAAAGATTGTAGGTACATGGACAGGCTGATGGGTACGTCGTTCTTCCACGAAAGCCACTTCCAAGGTTTGTTGGAGAGAGTCAGAGAAAGAGGGAGAGCGAATGTTGCTCAACGAATGGCTGATCAGGTGTGCTAAAATTTGGAATCGGTCTTTTATTAGTCGCGTTACTTTTTCTACCACTGTTTGTTTATTACAGGTCAATAGATTGTTCAGCCAGACTGAGAGCAACTCGGAAGGTAGCTCAGAGCTCGTCGAGTCCAAGAGTCAAGATGCCCAGAAAAACACGAGTGTCAATAACTCGCTCGAAAAATCTGCCTCTGAGGAAATCAGCGTTGTGTTCACGGAAGAAGATTCTGTATTGAACGACGATGAGAACAAGAATGAGAGTGCCAAGAACGTCGAGCCGAACACAAATCAGTTGTTCATCAACATCAATCGTAACCCCGAGGACTCGGGTCTGTTTTCGGCCGAGCACTCGAAAAAGGAGTCTGGCTCCAGCGACTCTAGTGGTGAGTTTCTGTTGAGCGAAGACGTCAACAACATCGACAAATCACCCGCAGCCGAGCCCCCAAAGTCCCTGCCTTTACCAGACAACATTGGAATTGTCAGTGTAGGCTCCTCGCAAGTATGCGTCAAACTTTGTAATCTCATCAAAGCTCAATTGGGTTAGTAAAACTTCTCGCACTCGCGTATCTTCTGAGAATGTCACTCTATTCATTAATGGTCTTGAAAACAGTTTTAGCGCACGCCGAAGTTTCAAAGAGATTCGGATTATCGAAAATGTCGCTTTCGGACGCGGCGAAAACTACAGCTTCGCCGGTGAAAAAGCTTAAGAAAGAAGACGACAAGATAATCGAGAACATCTTGTCGGAGCCGTCCGACTCGTCCATCGAGATCCCTCCACTAGTGTACTTGGAAGGCGAGGGCTTCTCGATAGAGGAACAGGCACCCGACAGCCACAAGTTCAAGCTAACGATGTTCCAGCCGACGGATCGTCCAAACTTCTTTCGCACCGTGTCTAAAGAACTGAAGCTCTTGAAAAGCTCATTGCCTCCGGGTATTTGGGTTAAAGGTTTCGAGGACAGGATGGACCTTTACTCCGTCATGATGCGTGGTCCGGAAAAGACACCTTACGAAGACGGTCTCTTCCTGTTTGACTTCCAGTTGTCGGCCGACTATCCAACGGCACCTCCGTTGTGCCATTATATATCATACTGTAGCGACAGGCTAAATCCGAATCTTTACGAGGATGGTAAGGTCTGCGTAAGTTTGCTGGGCACGTGGGCTGGTCGCGGCACGGAAGTCTGGACGAGCGCGTCCACGTTGCTCCAAGTCATCGTTTCCATTCAGGTACGTTTTTCCCTATCCTGATTTTTAATTTGAAAAAAAAAAAAAAAAAAAACGTAGATTAACCGAACCGACTGTCCCGCAGGGTTTGATCCTCGTGGCGGAGCCGTACTTCAACGAGGCTGGCTTCGAAAAGCAAAAGGGCTCGCAACAGGGCCGCGAGAACTCGCGCATGTACAACGAGATGGTCACGCTGAAGCTCGTGCAGTCGCAGAACAAGCTACTGCAGTACCCACCGCCCGTGTTCAGGGACACTATAATCCAGCACTTTAAGCGCCACTCGGAGAAACTGCTGCATCGGCTCGAGCTCTGGATGGAGATATCCGAGCAGCACAACAACCAGCATCCGCTCTCCCCCGTCACACCAACTACGTTCAAACAGATTGCTCCCGTTGGTGAGTTAATGGAACTCGGCTAGGCAAGTGCATCACCTTCATGTAACCTTTCTTTCCTTGTTTTGCAGACAATCGAATTCTACCAGAGTTCCCGCTAATACCAGCTTCCAAGGGCTTTTGCATAACGCTGAAAAACACCTTGGCAAACTTTAAGCGCACTCTTATCAAAGAAGGCATAATTCAGCTGAGTCTGGAGTCTCTGTTGCTCAACGACTGCTCGCGCGATTCTCTGAACCGATCGAGTACTCGGGACTCGATGGAGGAGGATGACAGTGGCACCTCCGCTTTACCACGCACACCGTCAGCACAGCAAAGCGCCGAGGAAACAACCACCCAAGACTCATCTGCCACGAAGCCCGGCGTTGTACAGCAAAACGAGACGAAGAGAGACAGCCTGGAGCGCCAGATCAGCTAGCCACAAGGTAAAGCCAAAGCACGCTTAGCTTGCAAAAATAATCTCACGGCCATTCGGTAATACACGGCGATTGCCGATGTACCGTACAGTCCTACCGGAAATTGTTCGAGAGCAAGCCATCGCACTGATCGATCGATTGATTGATTGGTTGATTACAAATAAGAGACGAGCGCTAACCGAGCGGACAAGGCCGTCCCTAGTACCTATGCAATATATTTATAGAATACCAAATAACACAATGCTAATGTCGCGCCGCTACATACAGTTGTACTCTGCTGCGCGGGGGGAAGTGATGATAGCCGTAGAGCTGTAATTTTTCTCTGTTGTCCTGTCGAAGCGTCGCGTCGTGGTCCTCGAGCGAGTAGGCACGCCACTTGACATTCATGACACAATAATCATAGCGAATATACGCGTACGTACATTGTGTACACTTGTCACTATAGAATTATATACATAAATATATATATACATTAAATTATACGTTTATTGAAACGGTTCATAAGAAATGAGAGGTCTTTTTTTCGTCGTTGTACGTAATTATTCGATTGTCTACAAGCGCAATATGAATTTCTGCCTCAAAGTTATTTCGTGTCTGAAAAATTCCAAACTAATGTATAATGTTGTTTTCAACAATCAAATACTTATTTGAAAGTTTACCATCTTCTTTGTAAACGTTTTGTGGACGAGTCACTGAAAAAAAAATAAAATAAAAAAATAATTTAATCGTAGGTCTGTCTTTGGATGTAATTTGATTAAAAAACTGTTTGTCTATTTCAAGTTTAACGAGTAAATTTTGTAGACTAGGAATTTCCTGAAAGGAGCTTTTCCATTCAGAAATTTGTGTTAACATTTCTTTCTTGAATATTCGTCGTCCCTACCGTAGCATCAAAAGTCAAGTAAATACAATTTTGAGGCAGATTTTTAAGGGAATCTCAAGCGAACGTTTGTAATTAGATATTTAAAACGAGCGCACGTAAACGATAAAAGGCAGGAAATAAAATGAAAAATAACGGAAAAAAGGTAGCGGAACAACCTGACTATAGTACAGTTTTCTGCTGCGCCATTAAATTGAGCAAAAGTCGTTTAAACGATTAAATTGCATTAGAGCAAGAGTCATTGAGTTGAAAAATTAAAACCTTGTAATTACAAAGTCTCGCGAGGTATTGTGCGAGCTATAAATAATTATAAGGTACACAAAAGCAATTTAATAAAGTAAGACCGTGCATTTGTCTCGAGCTCAATGTGAGCGTTTTTTTTCTTAGAGCAGCGTCGTGAAGCATTTCGCGAGCTCTCAGCTCTAGTCACAAATTTTAGAAAATTATGTTTGGTATTTATCGGTTTTTTTTTTGTTTTTTATACTAGGAATTGGATTGATTTGTTTTTTCATGTTTTGAAAAAAAAAAAAATAAATTACGATACAATCACTTTAGTGAGCGTCGGGCGTACAACTGGATGAAAAATAGATGAACGAATCGCGTTGTGGCATATTTCTTAATTAACAAAATTTTAAAAAGTACTTAGAGCCGCTGCATTTAACCGGCGTGAGTTAAAAAAAAATTACTAGGGAAAAATAAAAATCACATGTATACTCTGTTCACAACTCGTTAATGTCATCCATTTGAGACGAACGCTATCGTGGGTTCGGGAAAAAAAGGGGTAATAAAACAAGGTTACGAATAATTAGAGGAAAACTAATTTATAAAAATGACTTTAGTGAAAATAGGTCGTATAGAATTTAGATGAGAAAAATTCGATTCGTAGATCAGTCTATCGACGAGAATTCAATGTTATCGATTATTCTGTAGGTTTAGAGATCTGAAAAATGTATCAAAACATTTGAGAACAAAGTAAGGACTTTCTCATGCTCCGCTCTTCATATGACAGTTTTCCGTACCAAGTAACGGCATACGTGTCTTCTAATGTATACTGCGATCTCATTTTGATTCTTTGTAGTGCCATAATTCTTGCTTCAATGCTCTGAACTTGATTTGATAGACACGTAAGAGATGCAATATTTGCCGCACCCAAAAATAAATAAATAACACATCAAAGGAAAAAAGAAAGAGAGAGAAAACAAATATAACGCTAGACCGATATTTTTAAAAGGCTGAAGACAACAATGTACAACAAGCGTGTCGTATTCACTACCCATTTGTTTCCAACTGTCTTATTCGCTATAAATTGCTTGTTAAGTATTGTACAAATAAACACACACATACTTCCTTTCCAATGAGAAATCGGAATGTCAAAATAATCTGTTGAATCGATCGCGAACAAGTAGGAGGTATGCTTATTATGTTGTATCTATATTGTTGTCTGCCCTCGTGAGATTGAGTTGAGCTTATACTTAAAGTTTTTTTTGCATAAATCTGCCTATCACTGTGAAATACTTTTTTTTTATCACGTGTGCATGTTTTTCCCCAAACCAATTGGTTTGTTCTCAATAATTTCTCGTTTATGAATTTCGGTGTATATTTGTTTCTTTTGTACAAATTATTTGGTAATCATTTACTCCATGGTGTGTTACTATTGTCGAATCTTTTGTCTAAAATACACATTTATCTATGATTAAGAAAAAAAAATTTTTTTAATCATTATTTAGGATTATTCATTTCCGTATGAATAAAATTTGATATTTTGTTTCGTACTTGTACCGAATCATAATGGGGATCTGATAGGATAAAAAATGAATTTAGTACCGAGTAATAAAACTATTTCAATCACGTATTTAGATAAATTAACTTACTTGTGACTTACTATTTATTCGATTGTGCGAAATATATATTTAGATGTACGATATATTGTGATTATTTTATTGGAAATTTACACGAAAGTATTTGAAAATTTACGCTTCGATTAAAATTACTCTTACTCTAGATGTGCATCGATGCAAATCGATGCAGCTAAATACTGTAACAGAAATCGAGAGTTTCGTTCTCTATATATTTTTATTGAGCATAAATTTTCTCACGCAAAAACCAAAAATCAGAACAAATTGCAAAATAGAGTTTTTCTGTGTTTGCTGTCTGTTCCTATTTACTTAAGTTACTAATAAAAAATACGCGAAACGTAAGAGACACCATTGAAAAAATTACAATTATTATTCGTGCAAAACAAAAAAAAAGGCTTGTTTGAAAAGAAAAAGAAAAATATCGTCTCAAAACCAAACAAAAAAAAAACTAGGTAATAACACAACAAAAAAAATTAAGCAAACGTGTGTGTAAATTGTTTTTCTACGGTTCTGCCGTTCGCGCGTCAAAATGGTGCTGTATAATAAATAATATTTATAAAAAAAGTAATAATGCAAAACAAGCGTGGGCTGATGTCTGTAGTCTGGCAACTCTGAGTATGACAGAAAAAGGGCAAGCGCAATTAGTTGCATTATTACGTTGCCGAGTTGCGTTGGTGGGATTGCTATAGTAAAATGTGTACAGTAAATAAAGAAAAAAATAAAAAAAAACAAAAAACATAAGTAAAATAATCGCGAGAGTGTAAGGGAAAGAAAGTAAAAAAGAACCGAAAGCGTCAAGGTCGAACCGACAAATTGAGAAATAATATGTATGAATAAACAAACAAAGCGTATTTAAAAAGAAAAAATGAAAAAAAAAAAAAAATACGTGACGGAAGAGGAGAATTTTTCTCGTTTCACGAGCCAAAAAGCGATGATACGGCGGAAACGTGATGTTTGAAATGCCTTGTATATGTGCCAGCTATTTACATTTGTATCATTATTACACTGTAATTCGTAAAAGTTGTCTTGTGAAGTTTATTTTCGCTGTGAGGTTTTCGGTGGTACGAGCGATTCCGAGACAAAAAAAATGGAAACGAAAAAAATTTTACTCATCACGAATAGTAATAAAAAATAATAATAATAATAACAATAATAAACAAATTAAAGGTGTTGAGCGAAGAGCGTGGTGGTATTGGGTGCTTTAGTTAAATTAAAAGATAACAACAGCAACAACGCTTATTACGAAAAGTAAGTGGACAAGTGGATCTACTATGTATACCTACACGTCAAGTGATGCTGACTGACGATAATCACGTTATTGCATACACTATTATAAATATATATGATGATAAACGACTGTAAATTATTGTTTGTTAGCATAATTTTTTTCGTTTCTCTCATCCTTTCGTCTGATTTCTTTTTACTATTATTTTTACGATCAATAAAAATTTCAATCGATCAAAAACCACATGTTTGTAATTTTTTATTCCTCTACGTCCATCATCAGGTTTCCCATACTCGTCCCGCTCTCTGCCTGACCACTGTCGTCGATGGAAATTCCAGTTTGTCCTCCTGTGTGTGCATCGCATGGGCTGATTATATGGTTTTGTCCTGTCAAATTTAGCAGTTTGCATAGCCTTGTTAATTTGTCCACTGTCGTCGTCTCGAAAATGTAAAGTTTTGTTCCTGTAATGTTTTTATTTTATTTTATTTTTTCAACAAAAGTCACCAGAAATAAATAACTCTTCTACCAGATGTATGATTTTTTATTTTAACAATCAACATTTTCTAAGAATAATTAGGAAACAAAACGTATTCCATAACAACGCAAACGTTTCCGGGAGATCTAAACTGGGACGCGGCCAATAATACGCCCATTATGAGCAACACGACGACGAGTACATTGTGCGCGAGAATGAGACAAGATCAGTTGCCGTATATATATACGTAAGGTTAGCACACCTGTTATCTGAAGAAAGAATGGGGCCTTATCAGTTAGTTGATTCACGAGCTGCGCCTCCGGAAGATAAGGACGCGCCCAGTTTTCGATCGGCCTCTCAGTAACTGATTGTCAGTAGATTTTTCAACTTTTACCAAAAACGAGTGTGAAAATGCGCTCCAGAAGTGTTCTGTGCTTTTTGGTCATTGGATTCCGTAAGTGTATACCTGTTTGTGAGCGATCATACATATTATTGCCTGCAGACGAATGTTTGACCAGTTGTGTCAACTTGTGGAAGCAAAAAAAAAATACGTATTCATGTTTATAGTGGTCATGGGAATCTTGATGAGCGAAGTCGAAGCGAGGAGAAAAATTTTGCGAGGGCGAAAAACTATAACCAGGAGATATTACAGTGAGTTTTTACGCCAACATGGATTTTTCTTCACGTGTTCCAAAGTCACTTAAGATTTGTCGTTTTAGCTGGATCTTTTCTTCCGGCGTGGGCTATTTCCGTCATCACTGGAATCCTAATGCTACTTGCCGGTGGTGGACTGTATTTCATTCTTAAAAAATGGCTTCTCGATTCGATAGAAGTCAACGACAGACCGTCATACCAACCAGCCATGCAGGATGACATGTGAAACTTTATATTTTTATACAAACGTAAAAATTACGAGTATTTCCTAGGTATTTTGTAAATTATGTATTTTGTAAGCTTTTTCATACAGTTATGTTCAAATACAAATAAAACTTTTTATCATCTGTGTACAATTGCAGTCACCGTGTTTATAATTTCATTAGTTACAGAACACTTACATAAATTATAGTAAATTGAGAGTGATGCTACTTAAAATTCTCGACGATGATATTTGTCCGGATCGAAATATGACGTGACAACGACGCGATTGTTGAACTTGCGTCCCGTCAGAGTTTGCTGTGCCTTTTGACAATCTAGCACACTGTTGAATTCAACAAACACCTGCAACAAAAACAACGTCTCATTATTACCACGAAACCACCATCTCGGAACAATCATTACTTCACCAAAGCCACTGACCTTCCCACACCCGGGAACATCGACGCCCTCGATGGGTCTCGGGATCTCCACGGACCGTACGACACCGTACTTGTTGCACTCCTCCTTGATATCCTCAAGAATGTCCTCGTACTCTTCCTCCTCCATCAATTCCTCTGGTGTTACCATATTCAACAAGCACAGCACCTAGGGAAACGAAATGCAGGATGTCAGGCATACTGTGTTTGACAAACAACATGGGGAAAAACAAAGCAGTGACAAGAAGCCAAAGTATCAACTGACCTCGGTAGCCGGTCCGCTCGTACCGACCATGGACAGGCCGGGCACCTGAATCTGCACCGGCGCCTGGGCGCCAATCATTGGGTTCTTGGCACCGACACTGGCCCTCTGCACTATGAGCTTCTTATCCCCAAGCTGCATTCCATTGAGGCCAGCTATGGCCTGGTCTGTCATCGACACGTCAACATACTCGCAGAAGGCGTAGCCCTTGGACAAGCCTGTCGCTGAATCCTTGACCAGATTGAACGCCCGCAACTGACCAAAGCTCATTAGCAGCTCCTTCACCTGCTTGTACGTGAAAGGGTTATCGTACATTATTACGGGGGAACCATACAATACATTTGGTGGAGTCGAGATGAAGCGTATGTTGTGTGTATATACACGTAGTACACCGAGATAAGAGCTTGACCATACAAGATTGCCAAGGATGTACGAATTGCTTTGCAAGAAGCTCTTCTTTGCTCATTGCTATAGGTACATGGAACTGATGGAACGTTTTTGGAATGACTGTTTAGTTATTTTGGAGTGTTTTTTAAGATACTTCATGTTTGACATGTGATTGTGTTCAGATAATAAAAATTTTTTTATTTTTTATATACTAATACGTTAACTCAAGCTACAAAGATTAAATATCTACATTACAAGAAATTAGTGGTAATGAGTGTTAGCAAAGCAGTCCTAGGTAGCAAAAATTGCAGTCAAGCTCTACTGATTTTAATAATGAAACCTTACTTGTGCAATTTTTGTTTGATGAGATTGAGCAAGCAATGATTATGTGTATTACATGGAAAAGAAAATGTCATATTTTCCATGAAATATTAATTTTTCGCATATCCTTGACAACATGAATTTTACTGAGTCAATAAATGTGTATATGTGCGCATGAAGCGTTAGATCTGTGTGGTAGAGAAGGAAAATGCTGATGAGATAATAATGAAATCATCAAATCTTTTTGTAACTACAACAAAGAGAAAGAAATTGTAACATGTTGAGTTTAGATACATGAACTGAATTGAAAACATTTATTAACAATGTAATCAAATTCTTTTCTCAGTGCAGCCTCATTTCATTTACAAACATTTTGAACTTGACAATCAAAATATTGTGCAATGAACGTTTTACTAAAGCACTTGTATTTTCGAAAAATAATTTATCATTCTTTCGTTGTTTACTGTAACTATCATTGGACTTTTTTTTTATCTAATCGTTTATAAACAGCGTTTGATTATTTTTCTCCCTAAAAACTCAATAACTTCAGACTTTTTGTTCTTGACTAGGGTATGTACTTTCAAACCCAACCAAATATGTCCTAGACCCTAAAAGTTATCTAAGTATAGTTAAGTATTAGCAAGTTGCATTGAACAGTGGCACAAAGAAAACATGGCTTGTCTTTTAAGAAAAAAGGAAACAAAAATACCTTTTTACTAGCAACTTGCCCTTGTCCCGAGATTGAACAATCATGATACATAAGTGTTTTTTTTGCTTGTACTCAAAAACGAAAGAGTTGCAAGCTTTAAGTGTCCCTATACCTTTGCTTTCACTTGTTTTTTTTTTTTTTTATAACTTCTTCATTTTATTTAACTTTTGTTCCCCAGAAAAACGATGAGATTGAATGATAAAGTACTTGCCTCGAGGGACTGCGCAAGCCTTTCCAAAGGCAGTGTGCTTTATTGTCATGTTCAGTAGTAGTAGTAGTGGTAGAAGTGGTAAGCAATTGCTTTTGATCGGAGCGAGCCTAAGCTAAGAAAATGAGGAGAAAGGGAAATCTCTGTAACATCACATGACAATGTTTCTTTTCTTCTTTTACTTTACAGTTTGCCCGAGACTTTTTTACAATTATGATTTACTGAACACTTTTTTTGTTTTAAAAATCTTCATCTCTTTGAAACACTTTATTTCTGTAAATTTACTGAAAAACGAATCTTTCCGCCTTAAACTTTTTCTCATTCGCGTAACCCTGTAAATCATTAAAATTGAGAAAAAAAAAATAAGGAAGGCATTCTTGAAGATGAAGCCTGAAAAAGGTAAATGCCTGAAAAGAAAAGAGCTGCAAAAAAGGAAAAAAAACACTTTTCTTTTTGTCTCTCATTCTCGGCGTTACCTAGAAAATTCTTTTCGTTTCTTTCTCCCATTTTTTTTTTTTTTAACTGCAAATTATCTGAATGACCTGAAAGAAACTGTCGATTCACACACTTCTCGCAGTTTTACCTAAATGCTGAATAAAAAAAAAAAAAAAAAAACAGAAGGGAGCGTCGTATGCCTTATAACTGGTTATCCAGCAGCAGGTACGATCACACTGTTTCATTTAACTTTGTGTTTTTGTGAGACTGAAGTTGAGATGAGAAATTCTCACGATCATGGAGAGCAATTCTTAAGTTTTTCCTGTAAAACAAACCATCCCACCCTACCCCCCATTCTGTGTACCTCGTTCGATTCCTTTTTTTGCCTAAAAAACCTGTGAATGATGGAGAGGTCCAAGGTAATTTGAAGTTCATGCGTAAATATCTAAATATGCCCAAACGGCTCTATGGGTATCCTAAATACCATCACATGATTATCGTTTAATTGTCGACACTTTTAAATCGATCGCTGTAAATGTCGTTTAACTTATTTTGTGCTACTTAGAAATAAAATTGAAAATAATCAAGATTTTTATAACAGTCTTAATTATTCTCATAATATTAAAATATGCAACAAAATAAGTCGCTACACTGACTTGTGTATAACAAAAATATAAAATAATGCACAGAAAAATAGATTCATTTATCGTGCTGTAACGTACGATAGTATAACAGTGCTCTGTTAATGAATTATTATACCACTTATAACTTTGGGCTGAAATTTTGAATCTTTCAAATTTTTTCTGGAATATTATAAGCTTAAAGAAATGATTTGTTTAAATTACTGTTCAGAGTAAGAATTTTAATAAATTTCTAAACTACCTCGGTCTCTCAAATCAATTGTAAACGCGATACTTTTGACACTTCAGTACACCATCGAATCCAAAAAATCCACGGCGTGCCTAAAAAAAGGCTGTAAAAAAATGATTTCTTCGTTGCCAATGACGCGCGTAGTACCTGCAAAGTGCAACGTTTCTAAACTGATTTCATGGTGTCCAAATATTAAATTTTCGTTTTAGTAATAAATACAACATAGCCTTTTTTTTAATTTAACAAAAAATGCTACACAATGATAAATTTTAGTAGAAATTCGTATTATGTAATTTTCGAGCTAGTTTTTATGAACAATAAACAAACATAATGGATTTACTATTATCCAATTGCAAGTAACAAATAATCCAGCATACCAGAAACTTGTTAAACAAATGTCAATAGTAAGGCGAAAAAATTACTTTCAAATGTAGAATCATCATAGACTTAGTGAAATCAACTTAAACAAATGTGTACCTTTTATATTCGACGCCTTGGACGAAAACCAGATCAGTTCAGATTTTTCAATGTTATTTTAAATGGGAAAATCTGAAATGGGCTGGTTTTCGCCCGAAGCATTATATAGAATACGTTTGAATTTAACCTTAAAAAAAAGTTTAGTCTGCAGAACACCATGAATTTTCGCACCTATATACTGACTACCCGAATCGGCAAACGCGTGATGCTCTAGACAAAAAAAGAGTCAACCTGCCAGATGATTTATGCAAATACCGATGTCGTGTCCCTAAACTAAGCTAAACAATGCCCTGACCAACGCTAGAACCTGTATGGAAATACATACGTACCTCGATGAAACACTGAGCTTTAGCATCACTTGATTGATCAGTAACCATCGAGCTAAATAAGCTGAATTTACTCAAAGAAATGAATTTTGGATGGAAATGGATTTAACGTCAAGTACAAAAAAATTGACAGGACCACAAGTGAGAAAAAAAAAAAATATCGTGTTGATTTGATGGTTATTGCACTAACGCATTTGGATATTGTATGAACATTTTTCTTTTGAACTCATAGTATTGTCATGCTTGTACTGTATGAAAAAAGGCGGCAGATCAAGCAAAACAAACAGAAATACAGAAGAAAACTGATCACAGCTATGCGTTAGATTGGGACTTTCATGAAGGTGGTAAATACATACCTGATCTTCGTTCAAATAATTTGGTAAGCCACCTATGAAGATTTTATGTGGCGAATCTGAGAAGGAAGAAAAAAAGGACCCAAATTGTTAGTAAACAAATACTATACATAATTGTCAATAACTGAAATATATAATTTATACCTGGGACATTCATGCTTGGATTGTCTGTCATTCCAGGCATTGGCTGATAATCGTGAGGTCTTCTGATTTTCAAGCTTTGCCCTTTAAAATTAATGCCATCAAATGCCATTGCTTGTGTTGTTTCATCTATTGACCGAAACTACAAAAGAAGTAAACTGACGATTAATCTGCTGGTTGATTATCAAGAGAAAGACAAATGAAACTTACCTCTAAAAAGGCAAAGTTTTTGTCAAGATTAATTTGACATGCAAGCACTGGATTTCCAGCTGCTTGAGCTAAGCCGGAGAGATGCATTTGTTGATTGAAAAATTCCATCATTTCTTCTTCTGTGACTCCAAAAGGAATGTTTCCAACGTATAACCTTCTTGCTTGCCTCGTAATTGTGCTACCTACAACTGGTACAGCAGCTTGAGGTGTGTCGGCAACAATGTTGGCTGGAATTTGACCAGCCGCCTGCATAGCCTTGTACTGGAATAAATTGTAAGCAAGGGTTACTTGAGCTTCTACATGGAAGATTACTTTCTAAAGGTACTCTCTTGTATACCTGCAGAGGCGTAATGTGTTCAAATCCTGGTGGTGGGACATCCCAGTAAAGCGAAGGCTTTCGTCTTCTGGAGTGACGACTTCTTTTGGGTGACCTACTCTTACCATCTCTGGGTCTCTTGTCTCTGCTTCTTGATCTTGAACGTTTTCTGCGTTCCTTGCTCCTTGATCTGTGTCTTCTGTCCCTTTCTCTATCACGGTCGCCCCTATCCCTGTCTCTATCTCCTCTGTCTCTGTCTCCTCTGTCCCTGTCTCCTCTTTCCCTGTCTCTATCCTTATCCCGATCTCTGTCTCTGTCACGATCTAAAAAATGAATTATAAAGTAAAATTAAGCTGAACAAATTATCTGTTATTATAATATTGATTTAATTTTAATTGACAAGAATAATGCTGCATGTTTAATTATGACCTGATAAATTAAAAAACCAAGATTAATTATGACCTGTGGTGTTTAAGTATCTTTAGCTTACAATAAGTGTCCCTCATAAAAAAATAATGTATATCTTAAGGTCATCAGGAGCGTGCGTGTAAGATTGTTTATAAATAATTACTTGCATTTTTAACATGAAGTCGATCCAAGCAATGACTACTTTTGTCGGTGAAGTATAAAATAAATGAATCACTGTGCTTTTAGCATCCTTTGTTTGAGAACTCCAATCGTTAGGAATGCTTGTTTCATCAGAAATTTTTACTTATATTTCCGGCTAACCGTCAGCATACAAACAATAGAGGACAGGTGATGTCAATAAATTTTCAATCAATGGGTAGAGTCGAAAGAGTTTTAATTCAAGTGAGTAGCAACTTATCGAAATTCATTTTCTTAAACATGTAAACTATATAGGTACTTTAAACAGGATGGAGAGCGTCTGCACTCGATGACCCGCTCGAGTTGTAGGTTAGAAGACCACGGATTAATTGTTGACAGAAATATTTATGACACAATCAAGTGGTTCTGGATCGAAAATGTAGCTTACGTATACCGCGGCTGAATATTTGTTAAGTACAAGCTAATCGGCATGATTTGCTATCGACACTGTAGCACCAAGCAAATTAGCAAATCAGTCAGGTACAAAAAAACCCCAGGGACGCGCGCGGCCATTGTAAGACCTCTTTTCGTTAAATCACAGGAGAAGCTCTCGTAACTTGTAAGACATGCATAATTGCTTCCAAGCAGACTCACCTCCGTTAAAGTCTTCGCCCATTTTCTTGTCCTGAAGATGATCTCGTCAATATGCAACCAACGTAATGTTACTCAAGCGAATAACTCGTCCGCCAGAAATTTTCGGCAGTCCACTGATGCTTTTGCCACACAATAATGCCAGCTTGCCACAGTCACACACCATGACACCACACCACTCTCAGCTCTTACACATATATAGCCTATACGGGAAAACGTCAATAAAAAGCCACTTCGCGCGGCGAGTCGAATATCGAATATTTCAAGTATCGAATGATACTTATTCGATGAGTCGATAGCAAGATATCGATAGTTTCTATTGGGTGAACCTTAGAGAATATATATATACATTGTATGAGAATATGTATATATTCTCTAAGAGAGCCTGTACATGAGTGTCTGAATGTCTTAAGACTGTAAGCCAAACCTATGGCGGGTGATTCAATTCGTACTGACGTTAACTGAATATTGATATAAATTGTTTTAAACAAGATAATAGGCGTCCTGTTCGTAACAAAACTATGTTACGTGATTGCATTATAATATTGGAAAGATATTTAGCCACCAAAACTTAAAAAAATTTTGCTAACGCTGAGTCGTTAAATAGAGAGGTTATGTTGACAAAATTATTGTATTAACATGAATTGTAGAAATTTTTCATTGGATGCCTTAAAGACGTTCTAACCTTATAATGTAATCACNTAATTTTTGATTAAAGTAGTTTTTTGACTTAAAGACTTTCTTCACGTAGTTTATGGGGGAAAGTGCAGAGAAATGACAGGAACGCTAATGTGTACAGTAAAGCTAGCAATTGTTTTTCTTATGTGCATGTACTCATATACATGCTTTCACGCACACCTTATCCCCTCTTTCTAAATTTATCCAAAATTTAACTTTTGGGTCTATTGGAAAGTTAGATAGGTTTATCTTAAAGAAATCTCTTATACCCAAAAAATTGGGAGATTCCTACAAATCATATGAATGCCATTCAACGTAATTTTTTCATAAGTTTACATGTTAAATATCGATTTTTAAAAATTAAACATGTATAAAATAATGGTAGTCAAACGAGCTGCAATGTTCGTGGGTATTTTTTATGCTATTTCAATATATGTTTGACGTTTGAATATTATCTGTCAAAAAAACCTATGTGTAATGAACGTCTTGAAGGGACATTCACTGGCATGTAATATTACCCTGTTGAAGAAAACTATACTACAGGATGGTTTTTCTTAATTTTATATATACAATTATTTTTTGGGTATCAAATATAGACGAGGAATAACTATGGGATCGTATGTGATAGATGTGAGCGTGACGTTATAGATGTAATTAGCGTAGGCAGTAAAAAGTTGTTCTAAAATTACCGGAAGATTTGATGAAATTTTTATTGTATTTTAAGGTAACATATCGTTTATAATTCTTAACTCATTAAATATTAGTTAAAATCACACCCAATCAACGTAGGTATACTCATTCCCATGATAGTTGCACCACCTTACTACACAATATTGTTTCATAGAAGGTATTTTTATACTCAAAATTATATTGTTTGCCATGTAATTTCATAGAAGTATAACTTTATATTTGGGTATCCAAGCACCTACTGTCCACTGGTTTAGTAAAAAATTCTCGAGTTAACGCGTGCCACCAAACACAAAATGATTTCCCATTCAAAAATCACGGAATTTTAATCATTGAACTTTGTTTAATTTATTAACCACCTTAAAATATTTTTTCTTGATATTATAACTATACCAGGTATTAATAAATTCAAACGAAAAACAAGACACAATTCTTTCAAAAACTTATAGTGGACGTAGTATATACTTTACCCAAGGTTGACTTACACGGACAAGAAATTTTAGAGAGGTTTATTTTTTTCTGTTTTAGTTTACACTAAACATCCCATAAATTTATATACAATGGTGTTCATATATAGCGGAAAAATTAAAAAACCATAAGTTTGATGAAATGATAACAATTAGTTTTTCAAAAATGAAAAAAAAAACAATTAATCAAACTGAGTTTGTAGATCATTAAATGATTGTCTCTAAATAAGTAAAGCTGATCAGGGGATTGTTTACAAAATGTAGTTGAAAAGAAAATTTTCATTAAAAATTTGGAGTTTAGTGTTTGCGTAGCATCCATAGTTTTGTTTAAAAACAATCTGAAATTTAAAATAAATTTAACCTTATCTGAAACTCCCCTATTTAAATTTAAATGATTCTTACCTCTCCTACCAAAAACTATAGGTATTCGCTCCGAGCCGATGCAGAGGTTGCGCCCCCTCTAGCCAAAATCAGGCAAAATTTCTTGCATGTAAACAAACGGTTTAGAACATATATACATACGTACAGCTGCTTGTGATTGGCACTTGGCAAGCTAGAGAGAGANTAATACTACTCCTTTTTTTAAATTCAAAATTATATTTACCAACCACAGTATGCAAAATGTATTTGTAACTGTACCGTTAGTTTATTAAAGTAAATATTAGAAATAGTTTAATGAATAAATATCCTGATTGTTACCATAAAAAAATAATGTGTCATTTATTCAACTATAAAGAAATCTTGTTGCAATCATTTGGTACAAATCATATAATAAATAAAATATGTTATGTGTACGTTATACGAATATCTTATGTGTGTATAATAAAACACAAATAAATTTTAGACCTTTGATCTTGTTCTGATTTCAAATACTGACTGAGCACGTAATGGTATAGAAAAGTGTTGATTCATTTTGGTAAGTTTTGTACAATAAAATGAAAGTATTTAAAGCTAAATGAACTGTTATCATCATCATCATTATCATTTTTTTGTATAATCATTATTACTGTTGTTTTAATTGTTATTATTTTTGTTATTTTAATTGTTATCGTTATTTTAATTTTTATCATTATTATAATANTTAGTTTACATGCAAGAAATTTTGCCTGATTTTGGCTAGAGGGGGCGCAACCTCTGCATCGGCTCGGAGCGAATACACGTAGAATAGTTGTTTTCGTATCATGGTAGACATTTTTTAACCGAGAAAAAAAATTTTCCAGCTTTTTTACTGCAGCACCCCAAGAACATAAATTGGTGTCTTTCGCAATAACTTCTTTCACGTAAACTTTACTCGCTCGTGTTCAATGACACAGTTACAGATCACAATGAAAAATAACTATTTGTAGCATACATTGTACTTTGTCACTCAATGCAAATTTTCTGTGCAAAATCAGCGAAAAATTTGTTTTTTGTCCATGAAAAAAAGAAATTGTTGAGCTCATTGACATTAAACGTTATTATCTAGGAATTTTTCTCTAATAGTATCGTCTTAATACTGTAAATAGTAAAAAAAAGCCAAAAACCCTTGTTACGGTATCTGACTTTTCTACACTACATTTGTAGATGACACTTTAATTACAAAAGTTGTAAATCTTATAAAAATACACTTTTTTCCGCATTGGCTGTATTTAATATGCCCATATTACCAACTTAACACTGAAAACAAACAAATTATTTAAAAATATCCGCAAAAAACCATTTTACACACTCAAACGTTTTTATATGGTATTAACGAACTAAATGTTGAGTACAAATTTTATAAATTATATTCAAGTACACTTATTTGTGTTTCACATTTCCATCTATAATAGACAAAACAATAACTGCCCCTGTTTAATAGCTAAGTTAGTTAATGCGGTTAAGTGAACTCATTGGATTTGAAAGATACTTTTCACAGTAATTATTGTTTACTGATATTAGTTATGATTAGAATACCTAGAATAGACTAACAAGTAACAGGTATTACAAGAAATCTGATGATATTTCGAAGAAGTCTAATGCAACTTTATCGCTATACAGATAAACTAAAAGCATAAAAAATGATGTAAAAATTAGGGTATTTAACAATTAGCACAGGAAATGATTCGAAATTCCAATACATTATTTTTGATAATATTAAAAATAACATACTATAATCATGTAATATTATTCGATTTTTATAATATAATCAAGATTAATACTATTTGAAAGTGGTTATGTGATAGAATCAGCCAATGGGAATGGCATATTTGAATTTCCCGCCCATTAAATTAAACTGCCTCCAGTGTTCATATATAGCGGAAATCCCCTGCTGCACAGCCTCGGGATGATACATCTCCATATATCTGCATCTACTTTGCCAACGAGCCGAACTCGGAAGCAACTTTTAAATAAGCGCTCCAGAGGACATACCGCGCGAGGGAGGATTTAGCAGATCTTGGCTTTGACCCAATGTTAGTTTTTTTTTTTTTTTACAAATAAAAGCAAGAGCGCCTTTGGTATTCACCACAAAGTTTCCACCGCGTCACTGTGTCCGCGCAATCACTTTGGGGGTGAAACTGCAAAGTTTACAAAGTATAGTTTTGCCGCGTGTGCGTGTCGTCAAACTTTACCCCCTTTATGCGCGATGTTGGGCGGGGAAAACGTATTTCACGTCCACCTGCTGCAGGTGAAATTTTGACGTGTGTATTTAAAGAGGAGAGGTCGCACGCGCGGACGTGCCCGAGGCTTCGGTCGTTTCGTCCATATCGGTTATACGTCGTGCATGGTCGAATCCATGCGCCACTTTGGGCCACATTGTATAGGCCTCGTTTGCGCGCACGCAAGTTACGTTTACCTTTTTATGGCCCGCTTTTGTCCTTGTTTCTTATGGACACTGCGGATCAGCCCTGCCCTTTTACGCCCCCGGTGGACATAATATAATAACGTCCGAAATGGCAAACGAGAAAGCGAGAGAAGAATAATGGCCCGGGAGACTTTTTCGGGCTTAAATGGTCCACTTTGCGGTCCGCGCTTCCTCCTTTACGGTGTGTGGTTGGGCACGCGCGCCCATCTCTTATTCAAGGGTAAGTACGTCGTGAAGCTGAATGGCATCGCCTATATACAACGGGAGATGAAGCACCATAGATAGTTTCCATCAAAACTCAAT